CCACCCTGCTCCAGCCCGTCCTGCTGGAGCTGGACTGTGGAGGAAACTCCTTACCGTCCAGTGCTGGTCCCAGAGCCCAAGGGCTTCTCTTTCCAACAACCTCATTTATCTCACAGCCTTTCTGTGACCTGAGGGGCACATTCTGGAGCCTGGTCTGTGCCTTGAGATGAACACAGCCCTCCAAAGGCCTAACGAGGTTTAGTAAAGCAGCAGGCATTTCTTCTCCCTCCCTGTACTCCTGTTATGGAGGTGAGGGAGCAGAATGTCACAGCTGAACAGCAGGGTGCCATGGGGTTCTTGTGACCAGAGGAAAGGCTACAAAGACACATGGCTGAGAGACCACGTGAGGCCATGCATGTTCCCGGGCAAACATGTTCATTTGGGGGGCAGCACACGGCCCTCCCCACAAAGAACACAGGTCCTTCTCAAGAAAAGTAGGGGCTCCAGCTGCTCACTTGAAGTGTCTGTTTTAAGGCAGGATCCCACTCTGGGTTAGAGATGACCTCATATTTGTTATGTGGCCCAGGTTAGCCTTGAAATCATCACTGTGTATCTCTGTTCTTAAATACTGACCGTGTGTTCAGTAATTTCTCATCTATCACCTGCATGGGCAGAATCACTGAGAAGGGAGAAAGGTGCTGTCCCTTCCTCTGGGGTCATCATGTGGTGGTCTTCGAATCTTAGATGGTCTTTTAATAAAAACCCAAAGCCAGATATCAGGGTGAAAGTGAAAGATCAGAGAAGCAGAGCATCCAGCCCCTAGTTCTTACCTCTACGACATCCTCAGCCTAAAGAGAGTGGGTTCCTGTTTCCTCATGCCTTATATACCTTTCTCTGCCCAGACATCACTTCCTGGGATTAAAGGCGTGTGTGCTCCCTAAACAAAGGCAAGAGATCTCAAGTGCTGGGATTAAGGGCGTGTGTCCCCACTGCCTGACCTCTATGTCTAACCTAGTGGCTGGCTCTGTCCTCTGATCCTCAGGCAAGTTTATTAGGGTACACAATACATCACCACAGTGTGGGGGTGTGCCTTGTCAGGTGACTCCCCAACACTACCTCAAGAAGGGCTGAGGGCTTCAAACTTGATGATGGGTGAGCTGAGCTCAAGGCGTGTGCTCCTTTCCCTGCAGTCCAAGAGCAGGCATCTTGACATGGACACAAACTGGATGTTTGTCATTCTCTGACCAAAACAAGTCCAGGGTCCCCGACATGTCCGTCTTCTCTCAAAGGTTCGGCTGATGCAGGAATCTGTCCGAAGAATAATCGAAGCAGAGGAATCCAGAATGGGTGAGAATGCGCACCTCTCTGGACTGGGCTGGGTGCTGGGGTCTCCAATCTCCAAAGCAAAGTGGCGGGACGAGCTGTGGCAGCCCTTGCTGCTCTGTCTGCAGGGCTTATCATCGTGAACGCCTGGTACGGGAAATTTGTCAATGACAAGAGCAGGAGGAACGAGAAGGTGAAGGTGATCGATGTGACTGTGCCACTGCAGTGCCTGGTGAAGGACTCAAAGCTCATCCTCACCGAGGCCTCCAAGGTACGCAGACGGGTCACCAAGGCTGCCTGCTCCCGGGATCTACAACAGAAGGCAGTCTGGGCTCCAGCTCCATGTGCCCAGGACAGTCAGGCCTGCAGTGGCCATTTCCTTAGAGTGTCTGGATAGCTTCTGTGCTGGAGCCACTGCCTGCTTCCATGGACCCTGAAATCCACCTGGAAAGTGTCCACTGAGCTGCCAGATGCCACCCAGCAGTAGTACCTCTCTTCCTGGCACTTGCATGTCATTTGTCTGCAAGTTCCAGAAAGAGGGTGTGGACTCATCTGGACGTGAGAAAAGGGGCTTGAGGGCCAGTCTAGCACTACCTGAGTAAACAAGTCTAAATTCTCCTTCCTTCATCCAGCTCCAAAGTGTATCTCCTCCTCCATGCTGTGCCCAGTTGTTGGCAGAGGGGAGCAGAGCAGGCCTTGAGGGCTGACACTCTGTTTGTTGCAGGCCGGGCTGCCAGGCTTCTACGACCCATGTGTTGGGGAGGAGAAGAGCCTCCGAGTGCTCTACCAGTTCCGAGGTGTGCTGCATCAGGTGATGGTGCCCGACAGCGAGGCCCTGAGGATACCAAAGCAGTGTAAGTAGCTGCTGCCCCTTGGTGTCAGCTTCCCTCTCCAGGTTCATCAGTGACAGCTGAGTTTGTGAGGTGATTGTATATTGTCCTTGTCACAGATGGCGTTAGAGCTCACCATTGGCCAGAAAGTCAGCCTGGGCTACGTAGTGAGGCTCATCTCAAAAAAAAAAAAACCAGTCTAGCCAGCAGTGGTGGAGCACACCTTTAATCCCAGCACCTGAGAGGCAGAGGCAAGCAGATCTCTGTGAGTTCAAGGCCAGCCTGGGCTACAGAGCAAGTTCCAGAACAGCCAGGACTGTTTCACAGAGAAACCCTGTCTCAGAAAACAAAAAGTCTAGAGAGATGGCTCAGCAGTTCAGAGCACCTGTTATTCTTGCAGAGGACCCAGATCCAGTTCCCAGCACCCACACGGTGGCTCACAGCCATCTGTGACTCCAGTTATAGGGGACCTGACGCCCTTTTCTGACCATGGGCACCAGGCATGCATGTGGTGCACATCCATACATATAGGCTAAACACTCGTACACAGAAATTGTAAACGGGGTAGGAGGACCATTCTTGCCACAGCTATGAGAGGCTGTGTGGAAGTGACACCTTCTTCCTGGGTGCAGAAGCAGGCTTCAAGTTGAGTGTAGTGGGAGGCAGCAGACAGGGATAGGCGGGTTCTGAGCTCCAGGCCAGCCAGGGCTGCATAGAAAAACCCTGCCTCAAAACCTAGGAAACTCGGCAGCAGGTGCTCCTAGCCCAGCCTTGGTGCAGGAGGTGTGGAGGAAGCTCACTTGGCCTTTCCCTGTCCTGACATGTGCTTTTCTTTCCAGCTCACAGGATCGATACAGACGGATAAACTACTTGAGAACCTGAGCAAAAAGGCTACAGAAATACTTTCCTGGGAGTCTACAAATTTGGAAGCAGGGAAAACCCAGACATGAGATGTTTTTAGTTTATTCCTCAAGAAGGTGGCACTGTATCAATTATGTGAAGGGACATGCAGACAGCCTAGCTTCGTGGGTACTGTGGGTAAGGACTGAGGAGCCCCACCCTGGCCAGACCACAGCACGGCCATATCTTTCCCCAAGGATCATGTTCCTGGAGGGCAGGGCCCAAGCTGACTCTTCAGGTCACCCAGTCCTGGTCCTCACCACGAGTGGCCATGCACAGCAGCTCTCTGGAGGTATTTGGAACATTCTATCCTCACACTTGAGACTGTCCTTCCTGAAGTCCACGCTGCACATGGGGAACATGGAAAGGAGGGAAGGTGTGGTCACGTGCTGCTCAGTAGACTTCCCACAAACCACCTTTCTCTTCTGGAACATTACAGAGTGGACTGGAGAGGACTGTGGGTTTATAAAACTTCTTTTTATCTGAGAACAACAGCTTTGGAAACTAGTCTCTTTCTTCCCACTTCAGAGCTTCTCAAATCATTCCTCCAGGCCTTGGCTTGGGACAGAATGGGGAGACCCTAGGTCCCAGGGTGCACTGTCCAGGCACACTGCCCACACTGCTAAGAAAAGAGACCCTGCTGCTGCCGGTGGCCCCTTCACCCCACACCACGAGACACCTGTCTTGCCTTGCCTACAACCACTCCTCTAGAAGACAGTGTTGGAAGGAGGGGAGCTTTGCCAGTTTGCCAAATCCTGGGTGTGGACCCAAGGCCGGCCCAGGTGCCTGCACCTCTAGTGAGTGCCCAGCAGGTGGCGCTGTTGCTCGCCGGGCCAGGCCCTCACAGGGTCCCTTCTAAGGAGTCTCAGTTCCCAGACCTCTCCTGTCGCACACTTGCTAGATGTCACTGCGGGCTCTACCTCTCTGAGCAGGTGTGGCACCAGCAGTGGCGCTGAACCTGGCCCCGCAGCAGTAACTGCTGAAGGCAGGTATTGCCTCACAGTCTCATAACCCTTAAGTTGTAAGCGGTTCAGTTCTGTAGTATTTATCTCCTTTTTTTTAGAGGATGTTTCTTTGCCCCCCAGACTGGTGTGCGGTTTGCACCGTTGCATGAGCCAGACTCAGTGCTGTGGCTCCCTGGGCACTGCCGCCCCCTCTGTGACGCTGGCTGTGGCAGCCCTGCCCGACAATAAACCTGAACTGAAAGCTAAGGCCGCTTTGGTGTGTGTGTGTTTAGAAAGGGACAGTAGATGGCCGCAGTGCCCCAGGCCTTTTCCCATCCTGCTGCTTTAGTTAGACCACTGGCTGCAGCTTGAAGCTGGGGTTCCTTCCAGTCTGTGCTAACTGTTCACCTGAGATACAGAACCTCAAAAGAAGGAAGCTAGATGCAAGGTTTGTGTTTGCTTTTTCATCATGGTCTGGCTGTGTGGTCCAGGATGGCCTAGAACTCATGATTCTCTTGCCCCAGCCTCCTGAGTGCTGGAGTTACCTCTCCTCAGATAGATTTTTATTGTTTTCACTTTTTAACACATTCTTCATGTGTATGAGTATTTTGCCTGCGTATGTGCACCGTATCTTTACATGGTGCCTTCAGAGATCAGAAGAGGGCAGAAAAATCCTCTAGAACTGGAGTTAGAGATGGTGGCAAGCCATCATTACATATGATGATATGGGTTCTGGGACCTGAACCTGGATCCTCTGAAAGAGCAGTAAGTACTCTTAACCATTAAGATGTTTCTGGGCCAGGCGGTGGTGGCGCACGCCTTTAATCCCAGCACTCGGGAGGCAGAGGCAGGCAGATCTCTGAGTTCGAGGCCAGCCTGGTCTACAGAGTGAGATCCAGGACAGGCACCAAAACTACACAGAGAAACCCTGTCTCGAAAGACCTAAAAAAAGTTTCTGCAGCCCACACCCCATGTTTATTTATTTAAGTCAGTTCTGTAGTAGTGGTAGTCACATCCTGTCTGTCCTGTATCAGAGGAAGAGTGTAAGCAGCACACCTAAACCTAGAGTTCAGATAATTTATTCCATGTTTACACAAACCAGGCCAGAAAGAGTCACTCAGAAATACAGGCTAATGTGGGGGACCTTTGGGGAGGTGAGGAAGACCCCACAGACTAAACATGTTCCTGGAGGTGGACTGCAACAACGGCCACCTCTCCCTTTGAGTTATCTCTGGCAGGACTGTGACAACTCCTAACATTTGGCCCCATAGCCGCGGTCCTCAGCCTAGCAGACCTGAGGCTGTGCCTCAGGTTCCCCAGCGCTGGCCCCTCCCCTGATGACTGCCTGTCATGGCATCCAGTCCCACCAGTCTCAAGGCACCTGGCAGCATTAGCAGCGAGTGGGAATGTGCACAGCAGAGCTGAAAACCGCTTCCTGCCAGAGTGTTGCCACCATCCGCACATCCCAGAGCCGGCCTGGGCTCAGTTCCGCTGTGCTGGCCGTCTGGCCCGTGGTCCCCGCTGTCCCTCTCTGTAGGCTCTCAGGCGGCTGCACGTCCTCTGAAGCAGCAGCCTCTGGGCCTTCAGGCGCTTCCGGAGCCTCTTGTTTTCCTTCAGTGTGAGGAAGAGTTTTTTTTTCAGGGTATCCAAGTCCAAAAGGGCATAGCTGTGATCAGAGGGCTGTCCCAGAGGGGGCCTTCTCAACCCCGTGGGGCTGGCTGGCAGTCCAGGAGTCTCCATTGCTTCTGTTCTCTCTGGTAAGACCTGAGGACAGAGGTCAGTGAGTGCCAAGGAAAAGCTGTCCAGGTGGCCCTGTGTCCCCAGCAAGAAGGCATCTGAGCTGGGGTCACAAATGCCCATTACCCTTCGGGTTGAGCCCCAGCCCTCGTTCCCTGGTGAAACGTTCCCTGGTGAAATCCTGGTGGTGCTTGACCGCCGTCTTAGTGGTCTTAGGAGAAGCTCTGAAGTCCGCCACCTATCCCTCTGCTCCTGTTCTGTGGGGTCCTCTGGGGGCACTTCTGAGACCAGCTTGTACCCCGGGTCTTACCTGTTTCACAGGGCCTTCAGTGTCTGGAGGCTGAAACTCTTCCAGTGTGCAGTCCCCACCAGCCCCCACCTCAGGACAGACCTGGGAACAGCAGGCGGAGTCAAGATGGCTGAGCTGGCAGACACCGGATCCTCATACAGCTGCCACTGTCCATCCCTGAGTAATCCCTATATGGGGGCTGTGGCCAAGTCCTGTGCATCCGCAGTAAGAGCCCTGTCTCATTCTCCCACCTACTCCAGGACTCCAGCCTGTGACCCACTGAGGTCTGATGCCAGAGGACAGGGAAGCCCGAGGCCACAGCTTCCCTCTGAGGAGGAAAGCATCCTGAACTCAAACCTAACACTCTGCTTTGTCTTCAGATGCTCTAACTCCCAGTTCACCAAACTCAAGCTTGTGAGTGTACTGCCTGACTGGGAGCTGCCCTCCACAGCAACCCTGGGATGTGTGGAGAGCTGGTGCACTCAGCATCTCCTCCCTCACCAGCCGCAAGACAGCTCTGGTTCAGGCAGGACATGGTGGGACCTAACAGTGGGCCAGACAGGGGCCTGGGACACCCCAGTAGCTTTGCGCAGCCTGAAGTGGGGCACACCTAACAATACCGACTGAACCCAGCTGTGCCTACTCCTGCTTTCACTAGATACATTCCCAAATCCTGGGTCAGCAGCACCTGACCGGGTCCCCATGGCTCCAGGGACCCTGGAGACTGGCAACCATCCTCAGTGAACATTGGCCCTACAGCGAGCGCCATGTAATCAGAAGGTTTTGCAGATCTGAAGTCTCTGTTAGCTGCTGGCTGTGCCCACAGCGGCCATCCACAGCTTCTTAATGCCACTTTAGCCTGGGGGCCCTGAGGGCTGTGAAGTGAAGCCCTGGACCTCCTAAACCTGCTCAGGTCTCTTGCAGCCTCTGTCCACTGTCACTTTAAGCACGCCTAGAATGCACTGAATGTACTTGAGGCTGGGATGGTGGCAGTCCTGCCTCTGCCTTCTGAGTGCTGAGATTACAGGCGTGTACCATCACACCTGGCTTTTTGGTTTGTTCTGAGACAGGCTCTCATGTACCTCAGACTGGCCTCAAACCCCACGAATGACTGACCTTCTGATCTTCCTGCCTCCACCTCTGGAATGGCAGGATTGCACACATGCACAGCCCAGGTCTTGTTGGAGATCCAACCCTGGGCTTCGTGCATGCCAGGCAAGCACCTCTGCCAAAGGAACAACCACCTCAGGCCCAGCACACATGCTTTAGTGTTAAAGGAGCTTTAAATCACTTCTTTTGGGGGGTGGGAGTGATCTCATGTACCCCATGCCGGCCGCACCCTCCTGCCTCTGGCTCCACATTACAGTACCACCATAGTTTACAGAGTGCGAGGGCTTGAACCCAGGGCTGCTTCCATCCTGTGCCAGTACTCTTACCAACTGAGCGACCCCTTCAGCCCAGCTCCAGCTTCTTTTTAAGCTCCTCACTCAGCACACACACACAGTCCCACTGGCTGCATGTCAGACCAGCACCATACCTGTGTGGGGTTCTGGAAAGCAAACACAGTGGGCACAGCGTTGTGTTTCAGGTTCTTGCGGTTCCCAAAGGCACTGAAGCACTCGGGTCTGAAGTGCTCGGAACAGATGACTGTGTGCTGCTTGGGTTTGAAGTTGGCCCGGCCGATGTTGAGCACCCACTCCTTCAGCAGCTCTGGGCGGCTGAATGGGAACCTACAGGCACAGCATTCCATGGCACAGCTTTGTAAACTCAGTAATCCACTTCGTTAGTCATATCTAACACCCAGACACTCACCATGGCTGTTACCAGCATATATATATATGAACAAGATCATGAACATGGTAAAAGAGCCCAAGAGAGCTATCCTTCCAAAGCACATGCCAGGAGCCATCACTCCTTCCTGTCACTCACCACTTCCCAGGCCCTGGTTTCCTTCCAAAACATGGCAGTGGACAGGACCGAGTCCCTGCCCTTCAGGAGCCTACATCCTAAACAGCAGCAAACCAAGCTGAGATGGACTGTGAGGGCTGAAGCAGGAGGAAGCCCTGTGGTAGTTACAGCTGGCCAAGGTAACATTTGAACAGACCCTGCAGCAAGTGGAAGACAAACCCTGTGGCCTTTACAGAGGATGGGTGTGAGTGAGGGACCTGGAGGAAGGAGGACCGGCCACATGACGCAGAACTTTATCTAGATAGACGAGGTCTCTGGAGGTTCTGGATGAGGGAAGGAGAGGGGGCCTGTGTCCACCCAGGCTGCAGTGAGAACTAGGATTGAGCAGAAGAAAGTGCTGACTCTGTAATCCTAGCACTTGGAAGGCTGAGGCAGGAGGACAGCTTTGAGTTCAAGGGCAATCTGGTGTACCACAATGAGACTTTGTGTCAAAAACAAAAACAACAAAAAGGCCAGGTGTGATGGCAAACATCTTTAACCGCAGCCAGCACTCGGGAGGCAGAGTGGATCTCTATGAGTTCCAAACCTCATCTACATAGCAAGTTCCAGGCCAGCCAAGGACTTGTCTTCCCCCTAGCCCCCCGAAAAAAAGAGAAAAGAAAGAAAAAGCCAGGCATCAAGGTTTGCCTGCGGATCATGAAACAATGAAAAGAAAGGAGCTTCGTGTTTGCCATAGGGAAGGGGAGGTTTGGGTGAAAAGTTTGAAATGTTAGGTGTCAAGTTCAAGGTGCTTTTCAGACTACCAAGTACAGGAGTGGCAGATGGGCACACGTGCCTGGGGACGTCCCTGCAGAACCTGCCAGCCTGGGAGACTTCAGCACTCTGGATACGCTCTGGATGGCTCCATCTTGAACATGTCAGCGCATGTGTGGGAAGTGGGGAGGACTCGGCAAAAGGGAAGGACAGGGAGTCTGACAGAGGTCAAGATGTGCCCTAGGACATGGGGAAAAGACCAGTCGGTCAGAAGCTATTGAGTAGTCAGGTAAGACAAAGGCAGATGACATGGCCGTACAAGGAAGAACTGGACATGGCAGTGCATGCCTCGGATTCCAGCAGGAGGGGCCAGTCAAAGCCAGCCTGGGCTACACAAAAAAGTAGGAACAACGCTGCCTGGGAGCAGGGACACAGGTGAGCAGGCAAGGCACAGAATGCACACATGAAAAATGTCCTTAGGAAGCCGAGCAGTATGTGCAATAACTACATGTCAATAAACACATTTTAGGGCCAGCAAGATGATTCAGGCGGAAAAGGCACTTGCTGCCAAGCCTTATGACCTGAGTTCGATCCCCAGAATTTATATGGTGGGAGGATAAAACCAACTCCTATAAGTTGTCCTGTGACCTCCACTCATGCACTGTGACATCTGTGCCCACACACAAATAAATGGAAACATGACCAGAAGACACAGGTTCCTTGGTAACTGCCCATGCAGCCACCAAGAGGCCCTTCATTTGCAGGACATAAATTCTGACACGTGTTCAATGGACTACTGTGCAGAAAAGAGCTCGATTGTACGTGTGAGGCAAGGATGACTCTGAGGACAGTGCCCAGAAGGAAGAAAAGCACACGCTGCGATTCCATGACTTAAAGCTCAAACCTGGCCACAGCTATCTCCCTGCGGGCGGGTGAGAAGAGACTTAAGTGGAGAGTCTTCTGTGGACTGCCAAATGATGTGTGCATTTTTCTATGGTTGCTACTCTTGAGTAGAAGCACTGAAACAGCGTTCTGGGGCCCGAGGAGGGGGCAGGTGGGGAGGGGAACACCAGGTGCGAGCAGGCTGCCAGGCCTGAAGGCACAGGCATTGCTGGAAGCCTTGAGGGCCTGAAGGCACAGGCATTGCTGGAAGCCTTGACGGGTGCTTCTTTGGAAAGGGCTACGCACTAGTTGTGCTGGGAAAAGGAGTCCTGGGACTACAGGCCTGGGTATTCACCACCTTCGCAAGATCAAAGTCCCTGCCACGCGGCCCGGCCATCCTGGAGGGAGCTCATTCCTCCAGACCATGTACCTCCGCCTGGGCCTCCCTCGAAGTGACGCAGGCAGCAAGGGGCCAGAGCAGAGACACGGCCAGACGCCAGCCACTCTCCGCCTATTCACACTGGGCACCTAATGCTTCCAGGCGAGATGGGTCAGCCCAAGCCTGCACCGAGAGGGTCCGACGGGGCTCAGGCTTTGAGGCTGCGGGAGCACCGCTGACGCCCTGGACGTCCCCTCCCTGCAGTCCCGGTCCACCTCGCCCGCACACCCTGGGCCTCCCGGAGCTCCCGCCCGGTGCACTGGGGCCTGTAAGAGCTCCATAGTGTCGGGTCCCGGCCTCCCATCCCTCACCGGTGGAAGGTGAGCTGCTTCCTGCGGCTGCTGTAGCGGTTGCAGCATTGCTTGGCCGCGCACGACTTCGGCATCTCGGAGATGGGCCCGCTGCCCCTAACAAAGATGGCGGTACGCGGTCTCGGGGGCGGAGCTTGAGGGGCGGGGTCTGCAAGGTTCCCGGTGCTTGGACCCGGCTTGCTCCGCTCCCTGAAGAAGTTGGGAGCCTAGGGATGCCTCCAAGAGTTTAAACCCAATGAACCTTGGAAACCTAGAAAAGGTGTCAACCCCCACCTCGGCTAATAGTTTGAAGCTCCCCGAGGTGATAGGCAGGTGAGGGGGGGTTGGGGCAAAGACAGGTACTGAGCCTGGCTAGCCTGAACTCACGAGATTCCTCCATCAGCCTCTCAGACACCAGTTGGCTTGGTAGACAGAGGATTCCTAGCACTGGGAACTCGCCTCAAACTCACATCTGCCTGCCTCCGCTGGGATTAAAGGCCTGTCACCATGCTGGGGCCAAGGAAAGTCCCAACCCCAAACTTGCAGAGCCTAAAGGCTGTGGCTTTGAGTACAGATCAGTCAGGGGTGGGCACACCAGCTGAGCAGAGCCAGTGTGACTGAGAACAAGTGCACACTGGGTCTAGGAGTTAACCAGACAAGCAGGCCACGGGTCACGATCCTTTTCATTGTGCCAAATGCCAAAACCCAATCAGCTTTGCCAGAGCCACTACCTGGGCTGGTGACTGGAGAGGGCCACAGTGTCCTTCAGCACAGGACACCTTAGGAGACACCAACCTCAAAGTAGCAATATCTTTATTTACAAAATATACAGTTTCACAGAAACAGCTTGCTTTATACACATAAACTTTATAATTACACAGAACCATGTAAACGATGTTGTCTGGCCTGGCCAAAGCCGATGGGAGAGGTCCACTTTGGGGGTGACACCTTTCCCTCCCCACATCATCAGCCATCAACCAGGAGCCCCTAGAAGGGTCATGCCCAGTTTGCATAAAGAAGCTGATTCCAGCTGCCCAGCTCAGTCCACCCCCAAGCCAAGGTGTCTGCCTTCCCACACCACCCACAGGGAAAGAGCCCCTTAAAAACACAAAGCAAGCAAACAGACTGAGATGAGGGTCGATGTATCCCAGAGGCATCAATCTCTGAGCACACATAACAATGGCCAGCTACACCGTTCCACAACAAAACCACTTATTTTTAAATGCACTTAAAAAAAAATAGAACTACTGGAACTTTGGTTATTGTCAGGGTGAAAACACTGGACAAGTACTGTCATGGGGCGGGTCTTTGGCAAATTCCTCTAACTTGTCCTAGGGGTTTACTCCTCTCAGAGTCAGACCATAGCCTGGGGACAGGACCTTCTGGAACAGCTCCTTCTCTATGGCAAAGTTCTCCCTTGAGGTGTGCGGGACCAACTGAGCTTCAGCAATGAGTATTTCTCTGTACTTTAATATGAGCAACAGAATTTTAAAAACAAACAAAAAACTAAGACAGTTACTTAAACTGGACAAGTGTAAAGATACTGAGGCCCTCCCCCTCCCTCTCCCAGCTCTGATTAGCAGTCACAGTCTGAGCTCCTTTGGTCTTAAGATACTGTGGGAGTGCCTGATGACCCCGCACAGGTGCTACACAGGAAAGAAATGGGACCCACTTGGACACTCCCTGCCTCAGGCCTAACAGAAAACAGTACTTAGGAGATGGACCCACTGCTTTGTTAAACCCTCCTGAGAACATGCACTGGAGTGGTGAAGGAGGCCACTGCAGAGCCAGGGCCTCCCTCTTCCTTCAACCCTAGGACCACCAGTGTCCGGGGAGGTGAGGCAGCCCTCCACCAGGCTAGAGCTCTTGTTCACACCTTGGAAACTGCAGACTGCTGCAAGCGGACGGTACAGCGCCATCAAACTCTCGCCTTGCCCCGGGAACCCAGCAGGCCAGCCTGTGTGGAGGGCGGATTTTTTTGAACCATTATCTCAATGAACAGCACATAGGTCCTGAGGACACCTTCATCTGTGGGCTGCATCTGTGGGCTGCTACTGGAGCAGCTGAAGAACAGAGAACCAAGGGCTTCCAGAGGATAGAGCTGGGCACCCTGGGGCATGGACCAACGGCACAGAAAGGGCATCTAGGAAGACACTGGCCAATACTTTGGGCTGTATCGTGCGGAAAAAAATGGTTTGCTTTTTTACATCGTGCAAAACAAGAAACTGAGTTATGAACACAGGACACCTCCACCCTCAACCCCCACTCTTGGAGAAGTGGCTACATACTGTCCCTTCAAACAAACAGTGAAAAACCAAAGAATCACCGCTCACCCACCACCAAGGGCTCCTCTTGGGGACACCAGACCACTAAGAAAGCAGCTCCTTAGCCCAGTAAGTACAACGAGGCAGGGGCAGTGAGATCACAAAGGGGCAGGCAACTTGGATGGCTGCTGTATAGACACTTGTGATAAAAGACCAACACTGGAGAATAAACAGGCCAGGGAAACAGAACCCCTCCCGAGCAGAGGAGACACGGGATTGACAGCTAGCAGCAGCCCCCAGCGGTGGGAACTGGCTAACAATGACTTCGCCCGCACTCTCAGCGGAAGCAGACCTGGTGCTCAGTCTGCCTCCAACACAGAGAACACAGCCGGAGCAGCAGTTTTGACCACCATTTTATCTGCTCACTGGCTATGTACAGTTTTATCTGGACAGCTAGTCCCTTGCTTAGGCACCTGAGTGGCAGGGTCTGCCCGCACCAGAGCCAGGAGGTCTGTGCTCAACTAGGGAGGCCACAGAGCCCAGGCCCTTCCAGTCCCGCCTCTCCTTGCCAGCTCCAAATCAGTCCAGAAACAGCTTCCGGGAGCCCATTCGGGAACGATTGGAACGACGGATATCAAACTTGGAGTCCCGGCACTTTTGGCAGACAAACACTTCCGGAACATTGGACTTGCGGATCTTCGCACAGGACAGGTGAATCCAGGTGTGGCACTCATTACACTCTATCATGGGGCGACCAGCAAAGGGCTTCATGCAGAAACAGGTGACAAGATCCCAGGAATCATCATCTGGAAGGAAACAACAGTTCAGACGTGGGGACCTCCTGAGGCCTTCCTACCTGGAGCTGCACCCAATGGTCTGAGTGTGGCCAAACCGTCACTCCAGCTTAACTCGTTGAGCCAGTGTTCCTCTCTGAAGGCAGTGACTGCATCCCAAATGATGCTGAGATCCATGGAGGGGCTACATCATTTCTGCACTCAGACTTACAGAGAAGTCTTGGGCTGTATTCAGAAGCTAACAACTCTTTTAAGAGCATCTATCTGAGCAGAGGTGGCGCATATCTAGAATCCCAGCACTCGGGAGGCAGAGGCGGGTGGATCTCTTGAGTTTGAAGCCAGCCTGGTCTACAGAGTGAGTTCCAGGACAGCCAGGGCTACAGAGAAACCTGGTATTCAAAAAAAAAAGCACCTATCTGCCCTTCCACACTTTCTCCTTTGAAAGATCCTAAGCACCCTGAGCCGACCCCAGGACCTAGCCCTCTGCTTGAACCACTCACCTGAGTCCACCATGATGTCCTCATCGTTACCGGTGCTGTCTTCATCTCGGAAGACCACCTGCTTTCCCTGCCGGACAATAGTCCGTTTTCCTTCAGTCTTTATCTCTTTAACCTGATCAGGGGACACAGTAGCACAAGAGCCACTGGAGGGAGTGTCCGAGTCCCAGCCTGAGCAGGGGTCAGCCGAGGCCTGGGGAATATCCTGTACAGTGGGACTTGTGGGGGTCTCCACATACGGGTCTGCAGCCTCCAGCTTCAGCAAGCCCCCTCTGTATCCCTCCTTCACAGGCATGTCGCTGTCCCTTCGCTTCCTCTTCTTCTTCTTCTTCAGCTTGTCAGTTTTCTTCCTGTCCAGCAGGAAGTTACTGGGCTTCGCTCGCTGCAGGAGGGAAGGCTGCAGGTGGCTGAAGCAGCGGTCCGATACTGGCAAGGGCACTGAGGACGTAATGTCAGAGAAACCAGTGTCCCAGCCATCACTGTCGACGGTGCCAGCAGTGCTGTTGGCGGGGCTGGGGCTGCTCCTCAAGGGGAGCTCCTGAAACAGAGCAACAAGGGGCATGGTGGTCATTTCACCAGGCTCCAGGGCTGGGTGCCCCCCTCCCCCAGCAGGTCAGTCCTTCTGCACTCATCAAGTACAACTGGACCGGGACTCTAACCAGCATCACACTGGTACAACCTCAGGAGCATTAAGGTGCCAGCAGACCAGGAGGACACCTTCCCTCACTGAGTGTGTCCTGCAGTCAGGACAAAGCTCACAGTTAAAAGGCTAAGGAGCAACTGGGCACTGGAGTGGCAGAGCGCTCTGCCTAGCATGCAAGGGGCCTCGAGTTGACTCCCACCCTCCAAGAGCCTACAAAAACTGCTACCAACACCCACTCAGGATTAGTCTTCCCTGAAGAAGCAAAAGTACTCCTGCATTTATTCTCCCAACAGATTTCTTTTTTGGTTTTTCTGAGACAGGGTTTCTCTGTGTAGCCTTGGCTGTCCTAGAACTCCCTCTGTAGACCAGGCTGGCCCTGAACACAAGAGATACACCTACCTGCCTCTGCCTCCTGAGTGCTGGGATTAAAGGCGTGTGCTGCTATATCTGGCTCCCAACAGGTATTTTTATAATTAAATGAATTTAAGTTAGTTTCAAATTTTTGACCTTCTTTAAAAAAAAAAAATAAAAAACAGCTGGGCATGATGACACATGCCTTTAAGAGAGGCAGGTAGATCTCTAAGTTCAAGGCCAGCCTGGTCTACAGACTGAGTTCCAGGACAGCCAGGGCTACAGAGAGAAACTGTCTGGGAAGAAAAAAACAAACAAAAAAACCCTGGAGACATCCCAAAATATTGCAAAATCTAAGTAGATAATTAGTGCCCCCAAATAGCAAGCTAAATGCTGCAGTTCGTACCATTCAATTATTTGCCAAGACTGACAGCATTCTATGTGGTACAAAGTATGCATTGTACAGCAGTAAGAATAAATCCATGCCATGATTTGATTTCCTCAATTACCAGATTCTGTTTGTAGCTTAGTGTGATATATACAGGATCCCAGCAGTCTGAATCCCACAGAGGCTGACATCCCCACTCCCCTTCGGCCTTTCCT